TAGATGAGAAAACGCACATAAGGTGCGAATAAGTGTAGACGTCAACAACTTTACTTTTGGCAAAATCTGCTACCGCAACAAACACCTTGCTCTATGTGTGGATACTGCAGCTTCGCAGTCAAATGGTGTTGGGTAGGGTGAAATATGCTCTAGGAGAACATATGCAAGTTTCGTGCGATTCGGTCTATTAAGAAAGAAGTTATGAGTGAAAAAGCGCCAAAGCATTTCACCGAAGACTTTTGAGCGATACTGTACATGTTCACTTTTTATCAGTGAGTTAAGTAAGTTGGTAGTGAGTAGTTCAATGGTGCCTAATATGGAATTGAAAGCGTACTGTGATGCCATTCCCCTTACCTTGGTGGAGCTACCAACCTGTTATCCCCCTCCCCCTCCCATCTGGGCTCTTCACGCGGTACCCGTCGAAATGCCAAACGTCCATGCCGTGGGAGACAAGCGGGACCGTGTTGCTGTATCAGAAGGGGAATCCAGATGCTGTGGCAAGTGTCGTTTGGATTGAGTTCTATGAAGTTTCCGTTGAATTATCACGGAAGTACTAGACAGCGTTACAACCTACATTCATCTATTCTAAGGCCTCCCATATCTTTAAGACTAACAAGATACCAGACGCGTGGAAGAGCAGTACTATCGNAGGGGGGGGGGGGGGGGGGGGGGGGGGGGGGTGCGATGGAATGTTCTAATTACCATGGGGAATCAGGTTGACAGCGCACATGCTGAAACTGTTCGAGCGCTTAGCTTAAAAGAACTCGTTCAGATCTTGCAATAGCGGTTTCTTGCAAGAAAGAACTACAGTGGATGCCACTATCAAACTTGGAAAATTATAGAGATGTACCATGAATCTGAAAAGCGGCCCCTGCTACTTGGCCTTCCTCGGTAAGGAGAGTCATTCGACCATCTCCCGTACAAATTCTCGAGGGAGCGTTTCGAGAACGGGAGTTTCCTGAACACTTGATTCAAGAAAATGTACATTAGCTCCAAGGCGGTCGATCCCGCCCTTCACGGATTAACGAGGGCAGTAGACGTTAGGATGGTTGCTCCAAAGACCAACTTTGAGCCCGTCTATTCTGCTCAAAGGAGCCAGCAGACGGGCCAAAAAAGACCACAGTCTCCGCTGATGACACCGCTCTGATCGCGGAGAACGAAGATGGGCTACTGAAGTGGTGGAAGGTGCTGGCAGAGAATGGACTCTTGCTCAAGGTTAAAAGACCAAACTTAGCTCAGACGAGTGCGCGGAGTCAATGAAGACTGTCAGTGACGGATGCAGCAATAGGGCACAGGTATCCCGATATCAGGCAGTGACCTAGCCGTTTATGGTAGCGGGGGTGAAGCTGAAAAGCCTAAATGAACGGTGAATGGATGAAATGGAGGGAGTCCACCGATACCAACAGTTCTCCATGACTTTTAAAGGAAAAGTGTACCGAATAGTAGCGAGGGATCGTAAGTAAAAACCATGAAAGACAGCTTCACTCCGCTGTAATGAGGATGCTCAGATCCACCTGCGCTTGGACGCTACGGACCGGATCAGAACCAACTAAAGGCGAACGCAGGGCGTTCACGCAAATAGCTCCTGTCCAACTGAAGGTGAGAGAGGCCACAGAATCATCCATAAGGGAGGCAGTGGAATTCAAGGCTCAAGGTGAGCGACCACGAAGATCTCCAAAGACGCGGTGGCGAGATGTGGTCAAGAAGGACCTCGGGGCCAAATTAATGGCAGAAGATGCCGCGATAGAAGGAAGGGAGGCAGCTGACAAGAAAAGCTGACACCACGACGGCACGGGATTAAGTCCAGGGAGAGAAGAAGTGTCACCTAAATAACCGCCGCAAGCGAAATATTAAAACGAAGAATATCAGGAAATGCGGACGGTATGTAAAAACGAACTGGAGAACACATCACATTAACGCACAACAGTTTTTAGGTTTCCAGAAAACTTCAGGGTAAAAGTACTCAAAGGTAGAGCTCGTTTTGTGCATATTTATTCTTCCAGGCCAGTCGATTAACTCCTCATCATCCAAAAGACTCCACATTTCCACGGAAACTTCGATTTTTCACTTCTTCCATGAAAAAACGACAACAATTTTATGGAGCCCTAAATCAGCCGAGATGGAACAGCGGAAACAGCCATAGCCACTCAGTAAGGTGAACAGCTCGCCCTGAGCCTACGAGGACTCCATTTCTTCATAAATCTCGATTCCTTTTCATCTTAGTTGGATCATCTACTTTGATATCGCAAGAAATACTGAACTATCAGGGACCCTATGGTTCTGAGCAAAAGTCCAAGTTCAATGTCATAGCTCTATAGAAAACAATTAGTCCAAGAGGGGTGCACCTATTTTCTCAAGCGGAATTACTGAATAGCCCTTCCCTGGAAATGCAGACAACATTATTTGATTAACACAGGCATCCTAGAAAAGAACCACTTACACATTTTATCGGATTATTACACCAATTATAACTTCAACCTAATCCGTTCATTAAAACAAATGGAAAAGAAAAAACTCGATCTGAAACCAGGCGAAATTCACGAACCACCCGAAGACCTGGCTCGTTATAATGGGAATGGCTTTGAAGTGAAAAAAAGAGCACAATAGAGGGACCCTCGACGTCGAATCGACGGGTTGCCAAAGTCGCGGGGGTCGGCATCCGCGCCCAAGTGGTCGCGCGGCGCGGCCGTTCCTCCTCTATTAAAGGACCGGGTGATGACGCATGCAGGGAGCCCGAATTCCCCGCTGCCATCCAATCTTCAGTTTATTGCGACCTTCTATTCAACCGACATCTACGTCGTTTCTCATCTCTGTATCTCCAAAATACTAAAAATCGCCTCCCAAACTTACGATCGATCTGTTCCTTGTGGGACCGTGAACATAGCGCGGGCTACTGTAGATTCACGTGGAATCCGCGCTGGTCGTGACTGGGGCATGACCGATATCGATTAGCGAAACGAGTCGTGTCATCATTCCACTTTGTGAACTATCCTTGTTCACTACTTCCCAGTTGTTCCGGGAAAACTGTTCCCAATGTCCTTCCCTTGTCATCCTATACTCTTATCAGTTCAGAACTATTTCGCAATGCTTAATCCACTATGATCATTGATTTCCTTAATAAAAAGTTTGTATAACCACGTTTAGTGCTATGTATTTACAATATTGCTAGAATTCTTCTTTTGTGATGGTCCTAAATCGTATTCATAACATTTGATGCCCTTTTATCCGCTCTAAGAATTAATTCCCCTAGATGGACATTTGCGGATCCTTATCTTCCCAATGATTATCTTTCGTGTTTTTTAAGACATATATCAAACACATCGTTTTGCTTCACCATCTAAGCTCCATCGTTTGGATCGTTTATGAAAACGTATACCCCGTGAACATAGTCATGTCCTTTGCTTGAAAAAAACATTTGTTTCCCGAGCTCGGGCGAAAAGCAGCGTAACAAAATTCATAGTTATATTTTGTTTTTCAAGGTTTTCACGACCACATATTTAGTGGAGAGGATGGCTGCAATGAATCCAGAATAGTAAGTATAGCCAGGTTTCCAGTTATTTTTTCTCTTATAGTTTTCATTGTGGATTTTTTCTGTTTAAAGATGAAAGCGGAAACTCGCAGTTAAGCTGAAAATAAATGCTTTTATATTATAACAATATCTTCAATTTTATACTTTGCCTGTGTTTGGGGAAATTAATTTAGATAACATCAATGTCGATGTCTGCCAGCTAATGACACCAAGCTGTCACGAATAAATGCACCTCTCCAGGGCTCCCAGGCGTTACATTGGCTAAATAATTAGCAATTACTCATTCGATTACTCGGGTAGTCAATTTACTAGGTTATAACTATATATGATTGGAATAAATTTGTCCCGTGTGGGGAAATGGGAAACATCGATAGCCATGGGATGAACATTTTGAATGGACCGGTAAGGCTGGTCGCTGATTAATGCTGAAGAGCCCGGCACCATGAAATGATTATCAAACTTTATACATGGAGAACGGGGCGAAAAATGAGTGGCAGACGAGTAAACTTTGGATTTGGTAGTCGGGAAAATCAATTTGGAGACGGGAGTCGAGTTATATGTATTCTATTGAAGTGAAATTGGGATGTCATCATTCGCAAGTAGGTGACTCACCCTATGGTTGATGCCAAGCAACCCTCAGTTTCTCTTCGAAGAACAGTCTGTTACTATTTGCTTTTATGGTCTTGTTTCTTTCCTGAGGATTTGAAATGTAAATCGTAAAGCCTAGCATGACAGAGCGTATCTTTCAAACCCAGCTATGGCTCCTTGCTTGTTGCCTCACACAGACCCGGGAAAAATTGCGAAAAATTCGTAAAGAACGGTGGTATTATTTGCGCGGAGATGGAATTGCTCTATTCTCGGCACCCTTTTGATAGAATATTAAAGCCAAAGTATTACCCCCAAACCCTCAGTACACGAGGTCATTTGATATAATGGTATTCTATTTACATGATGTTTATTACGGCCTATCATGTATCAGACCAGACATGCCATTGTCTTTGTGGATTATCTAGTTGGGCTCTAGTACATTTATTTAGCTTCCGATAGTGTTTTAATTCAGTATTTTAGGGCCTGTTTGATTAAAGGTGTGCAGCGGGGGTTGCCGTAATGAGGTTCGACGTTTTTATTGATCGTGACTTTCAGCGACTACCTCTTTAAACTTCTTCTCATTGGTGACTCTGGAGTTGGAAAATCTTGCCTGCTTCTTCGATTCGCCGATGATACTTACACCGAATCCTACATATCCACCATTGGAGTAGATTTCGTGAGTTTGTTTACTTTCAATTTGTCAGGTACAGTTCGCTTAATGCTTCTTATTTCTCGAATTTGTCGCTCTTCTGATTTTGTTGGATTTCCAGAAGATCCGTACTATCGAACTGGACGGTAAAACTATCAAGCTCCAGATTGTAAGTCTTTCTGAGTTTTACTACTCTTTGGTTTTTGAATGTACGAATAACGTTATGATTATAAAAAGTTTGTTAGAGAGAACAGAATTTGCTTCCAGTGGGATACAGCTGGTCAGGAACGTTTCCGCACCATTACGTCGAGCTACTATCGAGGTGCTCACGGAATAATTGTCGTCTATGACATCACTGACCAAGTGAGTACTGTGAACTACTTGATTTCTTATGTTTTGTTTACTCTGTTTTTCTTATGCGGAGAATTCTTAATATTTTTACATAACACGTTACACGTTTTCTTAATATTCTGAAAATATTCGAAGTGACGGCAAACAGGCCGTCGTACGTCTGATTTGCCGATGGAAATATGCGACTGAGAACTGATTTATCTTGTGTAATTCTAAAATATGTAGGTGATGTGTGTGGTACAATTCGAATTTTATCGTTAGGTTAGGCGTCGAATAGGTTTCGGAAAAACGTAGTTCGAATTGAACTTCTATTCGTGTGGTGAATTTTCTGATTGGACAACAACAGAACCACTCTGTTATTAAATGGAATCGCATTCATCTTCCAGTTGTTGCTTCATGTCTGGGTCTTGCTGCTATCAGCTACCGATATTAGACGTAGAAATTAAAGTTATTGTGAATTTTTGTTCATAAGCTTTCAAGCTAGATGATGTAAATTGGTGATGGTCGACGTGTTCAGGTTCAGTTAGCAAAATCCAATGTTACCCAGAGGAAAGATCCTGGTTTAGAAAATTGGTCGAGGGCTTAGCGTCTTGATCTGTATACTTCCTATTAATAAGTTATCGATTATATGTTTTGATTTTTCCCTACCCTATGCTCTGCTTTGTGTTATGTGCTCTTTAACCTGTTTGTACCGCTCGTATTTATTTAACTTTTTCGATGCTGTACAGTTAATGGTAGCAACTCTTTATTGGTGATAACTTTTTCAGGAGTCGTTCAATAACGTGAAACAGTGGCTGCAGGAAATCGACCGATACGCTTGCGAAAATGTTAATAAGCTTTTGGTTGGAAACAAGTGTGATCTAACCGCTAAGAGAGCTGTAGAAACCCAGGCTGCTAAGGTGTGCTTACTTATTCAATTTTTCCTCGTGACCAAGGCTATGCAAGGAGCTGAACTCATGTCTCTTCCTTGCGTTAGAGAGGGTGTGGCGTTTAAAAGTAAGTAGCGCGCGATTATACATGATCATACGTGAGGTTGGGGGATCAAATGCATGGTCCATACTCGCAGGTGTAGTCAAGACCTCCGTTCTTCCAGTGGTTGCGTTGATGGTATCAAAATTAATCTGAGAAAAATTAAGTGCCGATTTGTACATCGAATGGGTGCCGTAACTCATTGTGTAAGCTACGGAAGCATTCGAAACATTATTGAGGTTCTAAGTATTTGCAGGGCTCATCCCAAAACGGGACTCATCAACGTCAGAAACCTTAACATTTACTCCCATCAAATGCCTAGGGTTTACACTGCAGATTGTCGCGGTTTCCTCGCTTGGGAAATGTGAAAATTAAGTGGTAAAAGCTCATCATCTTCAATTCTAGGTAATTTGTCCCTGCGGGCGGTCAGGGAACCTTTCAGGTCGCATTGCTTGAGTAGCGTTTGATTGTGAAATTGATTGTTGGTTTACAAAGGAAGTGACTAGTAGGCAAGCTTCAGGATGCGAAAGTTTCACCAAGGGTTTTACATACTAGCTCTGTCATTCAGTGATTTCCTTCCACTTAACTCCATTTCATTCCTCAGTTATCGCAAGTGATATTGGTTAGTTTTACTACTGTTTACTTCTCTAGTAAACCTTTCCAGCTTTCCTTCGGAGGAATTACTCTCCTGCTGATAAGAAGCACTAGACAATTTTAAATGCAAATTCGAATTTTCCCACGGTCCAGCATTATCGTACGGTCATTTCATTGGTATGGGATGTTTTCAGATCTCCACCCTCAAACAGGGCACCCATTTGGCCTGAGGCGTTCAACCATATGGTAAAATACCGAGAGAATATGGGGGTTGCCGTATGACGACATAGATAACGTTAATCAATTCAATACAAAACTGTCGGCTCATCGAAAATTATTCAGGGTTTCAAGATTTAATGTACATATTACAAATGTCTTTGTAGGAGTATGCTGACCAACTCGGAATACCGTTCCTGGAGACATCGGCCAAGTCTTCAACAAATGTTGAACAGGTTGCTGCATAGTTTACTCGATAAAATTGTGCTTTTGTTTTTAACAGTATATTGATCAAAGGTAGTTTAATATTTATGTGCAGATAATTTCACATGAACTTTTTACTTTTTTTATCATTTCGTATTATTTTGAAGTTCCCTGTTTTAAGGTAGTTACCATTAATCTATTCACCTTTAACCGATATTTCTTTCGTTAATTTTCGCTACAAAAGTCTAACCAATTACTTTGAGGCGTTCTTGACAATGGCATCTGAGATTAAGTCACGCATGGGCCCTGTACAAGGAGCGGGTGGCGCTCCAGCTGTGCGCATCACAGGTTCACAACCGGTGCAGGACAAGAAGACTGGTGGATGCTGCTGAAGGAGACTTCTGGACCAGACCATGAAATGCCGATCGTTCGTATTCTCTCCGTTAACATCCATCCTCCATGCTAGGTTAACTTTTAATCGTGGTCGTCGTTCACCATTTCTATTGTCTTACATTCGCGTTCTAATTTATTCCTTTCATTTTGTGCTAAAGTGCCCAGTGGCACTCTTGCAGGCAGTGGGATGTTCTGTATGAGAGGTGGTATACTTGTCTGCGTCTGTTTATTTTCTTCCGTCCAATTGCTGGTAGATATGGTTGAAATTTGTCTGTTAGCTTCTGTATAGAGCTGCACGGCACCGAATTTTTACAGCTTTTACCGTAGTTGGCCTGTGACCCTTCCTTGTAATCAGTTCCCCCAAAGTAAACTCTCTTCTGATATAATATTTATAGTCCCGTTTTATCCATCTATTCTCCTTCGAAATGTGATTTGTGATTGTGGTCCGAGGAACGAGCGTTGTGCTATGCTTTTTGCGTGTGAGCTTTTGCCCTCGAAATCAATCCGTTTTCTTTTTAGATAAAGTTATATAATCGATGCTCAATGTATTTATCATTCATGCGATATTTTGAAATATTGATGTGGAGACCTTAAGCAGTTTAGGCATAGTAGATTTTGTGAACTACGCCTCGAGTCAGTTAGCCTTAGGTGTTTAATATATTTGCGTCACACAATGTCATTCGTACAGTAACGAGTTCAAATCAGGTTCGACGAGAAAAACATTGGTGAAGCACACACAGACTAGAGAAAGGATCAAGGGCGGGTGGCTGAAGTCAAGCAAGTGTGGGTCTAGTAGTTAAATACCTCTTCTGAGAAGGACTAGGAAGACATTTGTCGTGGTGAGTAACCATCACCCGAAGAGCACGCAGAAACCTCGTATTAGGGAGAAATAAAGGTAAACCAATTTATTTGCTTTGATAGGGCTGTTGGCATGGAAGATGATTCATTTGTTATCGGAATGAGTCTGCTGTTGTTCAAACGTACGTCATCTCTATCTCACTGGCAGTGTATACCTGATGGAAATAAGTATTCGTTCGATGTTACTTTGTAGAAAAATTCCGAAATCGGCAGCTTATTCTGTATCACCTGTTGTCCCGTTGATGATCGATTTTTTCGAGTGGGCGCCAGTAGCGTCTTCATTCATTCTTGTCGCGAGCCGGATTAATCTAGTGGGTCGTCCACGATCGAGGGATACCGGCATAACTTTCTTTTCGATCATAGCCTTCGTGAACAAGTCTTGTCTTTCGCTTGCGGCCGTCCTGACCTTGGCTTACACAGGGTTGCAGTCAGTACCCGCCATTGTCATCACAAAATCGCTGGAGGTGTCCTGTTCACCTGGTCTTCGTTGGTCAACAAAGCTTGGAACTCCGTATTTCCCTCTACATCTTCGTATATGCGTGTATCGGGAAATTCCGAGCATCGCACTTCCCATCGAGCGTTGAATTACACCGCCTGCATCCTCGTGCTCCTCGGACTCTGCTAATGGAAAGAAATACAGTGGTTTCAAAATTGTAAATGGAAGGTAATCTCTTGCAGAGCGTTCCAAATTCTAGCATCAAAAGAGTTGTGCGTAATCCATGGTCAATCTTCGCTGAAGCTAAAAACGTCTAACTGTTTCAGGGCATTGGGTACATGAAACCTGCTGCAGTATGTAGTGCTTTCCTAGTGTAAGTAATAGAAGCGACAATGCTGGTGTATGAACCTCTGCCATCCAGTTGTACTGCTCACAGTAAACAGTAAAGTACACTGAAATACACAGCTTGATTTATTTATTTACCTATTTTATGTGAGTGTAGTTGCCGGGCAGCAACAGAAGCAAAACACAACAAACAACACACAAAAACTTAAGTGATGAATTTATAATGAAAATTAAAGCCCACTAGAGCTTCGTTGGAGTAGTTCCTTCGCTAAGATATGCCTAGAGGGGATTTGTCGATTTGTGGGAAAACATGTTTAGTTAAGCGAGTAAACACTGATCCAACGCGACCTACAGAAAATTTGTACCTATAGTCTTAAGCGCTGCACTGGAAATCTGGCTCGGGTTTTCTCTACATAGTAAAGAAAGGCCTTATTCGAAATAGTTAACTACATCGACTACTCAGCTTGTCCGCTGTGTATTTTGCTGGCCCCACCCTTTTCCTCATTCTCCGCCTGAATGAGAACAGTTTTGAACCTAGAAGAACTTTCAGACCATATGTAGAACTCGTCCATGAGTTCCCTGATGCAGAGTCCGGTAAATTACTTCCTATTATTTTATTTATTGCAAGCAGTACACAAACTCGTAAATCTTGTCGTAATGCCATTGTCGGGAAACAGCGCTACTGCTTTGTCCGGCCTGAGATTTCAGGTTATATGTAGAACTCGGCCATGAGAACGACATATTTTTTGTATGAAGCACGGTCATCTACACATAGACGTGGTCGGAGTGTGGTCACAAGGAAGCGTGCACGTTCAACCCAGCGAACATCCTTTTCCTCCCGGACCCGATGGAAGTGAGGTAGGCACCCCGTCAAGATGCGCATGTAGGGTTTATCAAGCTCATCCAAAGTTTCGTCGGAAACAGCCCTCAAGACATCCAGATTTATATGTAGATTGTCACTATTGAATGATAGGGGTGGAGGCTTCCGCCGACTTTTATGGAGCCGGCTAAGGAACCTCTGTACTATCTTCTAACCTTATTAGCATTGTTAGCAGCGTAGCGTAAACATCTTGCTGGTGTAACTGAGCTTGGTTATTCAAGAATCTTTGTCCGATAAAGTAATTCGTGAAGAGGTATTTGAGGCACAATAGTTTCGTGAATGGTTTGCACTTTTATGGGAACAAAGTGGGGTTGTGTTTTGTTGAAGGACATCAGCAGCGAACATGATACAGAAAGGATTGGAGACGATGGTGATGTGAGCTCGAAAATTTTGAATCACAGCGGAAACGGTAGCTCACTTTCTTGATAATTGTGAACTTCTTCACATCGAAACGTTTCATGCGTCCGTGCCGGAACATGACAAGCCGAAGAAGAGAAACGGCCAGAGCTCAGTGCTCCGAAGGAGTGACGGTACAAGTTTCCCCATCATCTGCTTCTTCGAGGTGATAAAGGGGCAAGAGAAATAATTAAATATACACAATATATCACAGGATATTCGAATGTACATAGTTTTACGCAGAGCTGCGGTGCTACCATTTCATATGGTTGATCTCGACCGTTAACAAGAATTAATTATTTGAGAAAGCGGAACTTCGGCAAATGTCTGTCCCAAACAATTTTTGATGGAAGGAATATGCGTAACGCATTCCAAAATGTTCGACCTCCCTCACTGACCCGGCTGTACTGAAAGTTCAAATAGATGTGTTCAGGAGAAATAGATGGAACCAGATTGTCTTCGCTGCAAATACCTTTTGCATATTTCATCTCAAAACTTCCTTTTTTTAGACAGCTTTGTTTATGGCTCCGTCTCCGCTTTCAAAGTGCTCTTAGTGTCGTTAAGCGGCAGCTTGTGTTTACATGGTCATGCTTACACTCTCTAAAGCTGTTTACTTTACTCATATGAAACGGTTACGATTTTTGTTCTCGTTTCAGTAGATATCATTCACTGCCTTCTCATCAACTGAACTCTCACCATCGAGTTTACACAGTTGTTTTCTTAGGTTGCAGAGTGAGAGTACAACCATCGATCAGAGCCTTCCTTTTGTTTTTTGAGCTTTTCTATCTCACCAGAAATTCTTGTAGGTTATTATTGCCTTTGTGTATAGGCCTAACTTACTTCCCGCATGCACGGCTTTCAGGCTCACTGATTCATCTAGACAATGTTTACTCTATGACGACGAATAGCTTGGTACTTTGTGGTCGAGTGCGGACTTACATTCATAATCGTCTGAGGTAGAAAGCACCATCGTTGCAATAAGGGAGACTGGATTGCTGAGCACAGCTTGCACATCACGAATAGTAGAAAATGTCATAGTGTCTGCAACATTCTTTCTCCATGAAAATCAAGGGGTCCTGATTAAGAAAGAGTATTACAATGTCATTTTCTGATGTTCCTGATGTGAAAAGCCTCTGATCATTCCTAGTGTCGACGGTTTTTCTGCTCCCGTGTGATAAAGAACCAGATGACAACAAATGTTCCGAACTTTCTTCCTCTGTTATTACATTTCGGTACTCAGTGTTTGTGAAATATGGGGCTGACGACGGACAGCAGTCCATCGCTGAAGAACTAATCAAAAGGGTCCGATGAAAACTCGCAAAATCGACCCCTGTTTTCGCGATTGCACTTGAGCATTGGTCGAGAGGATTTTTGAAAGCTTTGGGCTTCTATGAGCCCTGTGCTGGGCATAGTCTATTTCGAAATGCTGTATTTGCGAGGGCATTGAAAAAGAGAAATGCGGGATTGAAGAATCTGTTGTTAGCTCTAGGTAGGTATAGGTAGACATGATCTAGACAAATACACAAATTTCGAGAAAACAAGGATCTGGTTTACGGTTCGTGGAAGCAGTACGCACCTGTGGCTGCTTTATGAGGTAAACACTTCTCAGTAATATTACTTCGAGGATCGAAATTGCACATGGCTGGCAGATCCTAAAAAAGGACTTGGATGACGAACTGAGCTTTCAATGAACGAACGTTTGCTTCTGAATCATATAGATCTGATGCTGCAAACCAAAAAAATCGAGTACGACTTCGTCGGACTATTCAAAAAGTAAAGAAAAGTAAAGACATCGCCAGAATTCGCGGGTCGTTTCCAAGACGGAAGAAGAGCTATGCTTCAAAACATGCTACAGCAGAAAGATAAGCGGTTGGGTGTACTCATCAACAACCACCGTTCATGGACAACAATTTGTAGGGGAGGGTGACGATGATCCAGCTACGTCGCTTACGAGCCACTCAACCGAGATTAGGATGAATGCTAGCTCATCATCACATTCGGAGGTAAGTCCAGGTGGACTGGGCAATTCATGTGATCATATTCGATCGTTGAAGTGGAGCACCAAATAAATCTTTTGAGGCCGGTCCTAAGTAAAGATCAGGAAGACTGTCAGCCATTTGTCATAGTCTTTTACTAGGTCTTAAACGGGAAGAGTGACAAGCTCCGTGCCCCTGTGGTCCACCGAATTACATTCTTTCCGGACAGGAAAGAATAGGGACTGTTGTGTAGTTCGACCGTATTCGCGCTGGGATAGCATGGTAGACGGACAGCTTTGCTCAGCGCAAGAGGAAGCATGGCAGTCTGACGTCTTCGGCCCCTTTCACTTATTATTCGTATATCTCGAACCGAAATTGACTCCGTCGTCAAACCCAGCCCATTTCACCTCACCTGCTTATTCCTACCTTGCTATTCGACTCTTTTGCCTATTGCAGCTTGTCATCTCTAGAAGGACTATATATATTGATTCAATACTGCTCCGCGAGGGACTGGGGGTAGATGGCCCCGTAGCGGCTCAAAACGGGGATAGAGTACGAACCGTAGAGGCCGATCCCACGTGAACATCGCGAGCTGTTCTTCATTCCTTCCTTTAGTTGTACGGTACTCAGTCAACTTTCTGCTTCATCGTGACTTGTCTGCCATGCAACAACAGAAAGGACTTTTCGAAAGCTTGTGCCAGTTAACCCTGGTATAGGGGGTAATTACACAGCCTTTGTACTTCCCACCCTTCACGCTTCTTTCTCGGAAACGGTAAAGTAATTTGTTTTCAAGAAAAAAAAGGAGGTCCTGCTCTAGGATTCAATGACGCTCTACCTGGATAGTCCGAGGACTCGTCAGCCTCTTTCCACTCAGCAGACAGATTTTGTGCACCTTACAAACTATTCCATCCTCTTCGTAAATACAGGTTTCCGATTCTTATTTTATTTAGATCTAATACATCGTCCCGTGCAGATTGCAGCTATTAGCTCTAGCTTTATTTCACAGAATGGGGTCATCATCAAACATTCAGCATAGAGGCACATCCTAGTAAGTGGCTATGAGTTCAATAAATATAATGTTAAAAGATTAAAAACGATGATAGCATCTGGACATATTCTTCACAATATTCTTATTATCCTTAGATCACTGCTATCGATACTTATAAAGAAAGTGCTCGCATCTAACTGTAGGGCTTAAAATTTGGTATTACATCAGGAGAAGTCTGGTCAGGTTTAGGATCGGTGGGGATTAGGCCAAACCCAACAGAGCACATTTAGTTCAACGAAACCCTGGAAACAGGTTACGGTGCACCACAGTAATCGGTGCTAAGGTCAAACTTCTTGTTCGAGAAAAAAAGCTCAGATACCGGGAGAAAATGAGTAAAGGTTACAGATGGGTCAACTACTCAGATGAAGGAGAAAAACAGACAAGAGGGGCGGAGTACTCAGTGAACGGCACTTTCCCATAAATTCGCAACTCGCTTCCAACAAAGCCTGGAAGCAAGAAAAACAGTTGGAACAAGCAATGTCTAAGGTCTTCTGGGCATGCGTTAGCTTATCGAAGTTCGGCCTGGTTTGTGTGTGGTGGGTTCTTGAAGATAATGTTTTTTCTGAACATGTGTAACTCTGCTAAAAGTGTTAGCACCAAAAAAGGTGGTTGATGGTTATTGAAAAAGGAGGGCTGAATTTTAGTCGTAGGTAAAGTCTTTACCAAGGTGGGTAAAACTGTGGTGGGAGGGGCTTTTCGTTTTGTCCCTCCGTCCATAGAGAGACAGTATCCTAGTGGAATTTTATAATATTGTGAGCCAGCACTTCACTCACCCGGATGCTCCTCCATCCCCTCGGCATAGTCCGAAAATCCCGTATGTCTCAGAATTGTTGTTCCTACCTCGCACCACTTAAGCTCGCAAAACCGGCACCTCCTTTTCTGGCTCCAGCAATTACCATTAGGGATACAGCGAAGTGGCCTCCTTTAACTACGGTCGTTTTTAATTCATTAAAGTATATTGAAAAAAACTTCCGATTTTATGAAACTCTCTACACCGAGGTTCCATTTGTGCGGGGCCGTTCATGAGGCACTGGAGCATGAAATTTCTGCGTGACGACTGAACGATTGAGAAGGGCATGGTGATATAGTGAATTTCGCTTCTCGTGGCAGCTTGTTCAGAGAGTCGCTAAAGAAGATAGTACAGGAAGTTTTTCCAGGGCCTGTGGGTAGAACAGAGAGTAGGCTGTGAAGTGAACGTTATTTATGTGGCCTGAAACAGTAATGTGTAAAATGCTAACCGTACTTTATTCACGGCTCCTTTGTAACTTTGTTTCTTCTGTAAACATCACGTCCCCCACGTAGCCCTACTGTAATATTTGTGGTTTTTTCTAGTTCAACCAATATATCTCACTATTGCCATTGTTCATATGTGTACCTGAAATGATTTTTCAGTGATTTCCTTTTCAAGCTACTAGTAATCGGGGAGCCTTCGGTGGGAAAGTCATCGCTTTTGCTGCGCTTCGCTGAAAACATCTTCAGCCACTCTTACACGTCCACAATAGGAGTGGATTTTGTAAGTTTGAGAGTTTGGCTTTTGATCACCAGATCCTTTCATTATACACGCATTACATTTCATTACATTATACAGGGAGGACGCATGATTTCCATCTTGTGACTAACATGATATCAAGATAGCATAAGTTTCTGAACATCGCGTAACAACTTCCATGTTCAGTCTTCTTGAAACCTAGGCATTTTACATAATGTTCAATATTGCTTTGCCGTACAGGTTTGATATGGTTGAACCGCTTTATTGGTCAACGTTTCAATCAGGACCTCTGGTCTTTTTGGTCTTTTTGCTAGGAACTTTTCCGCAGTTTAGTTTACGGGAGTCGTTGCAAATAGCGTATCGCGTTTGGGCGCTTGGTCGGGTAAGTCACAGATCAGGAGCTTCGAATTATTTTTAGGTCCTGAAGACGACGATTCAGTCGAAACGTTGACCAATAAGGCGGTTCAACCATAACAAACCTGGACGGCAAAGCAGTATTAAACAGAAGTTTCTGAAACTAAAGAAAAGCTCCTCTTCTATTTTCATGTATACACGAACAACAAAATGTCGCATTAAACTAAGCTCAGGAACACATTCATTAGCCTATTTATTCTCTTTGACCCATTCTTGAAAATGAGCTATGTAGTCTGCCAGTAATAGACTAGCAAGCGAAATGTTTTGACTTTCTGTTTCTACGAGGTTTTTCCTCGTTTATTTTGAAGAGCGGTTTCACATTTTATCATTTTTTCTTTGTTTTTACAACAAAACAAATCACCTGTAGCAGAAAAATATTGTACTACATTCATTCATCAATAGTCTTTCGGGAATTTTGCGAAATGGACCTCTTTGCATACTCTTCAGATACCATTAAAATTTTGCATAAACAACAAGGACTGATTTTTTTTGCTTTTCAAGGCCCTACCACATCAGTACTTTGAAGCATAGGCTTTGGATTTGATTTCAGCCTGACAGCCCCGTGGCATAGATTCCACGGACTATGTGAGTGAGTTGGGAGGAAAGCTCCTCAGGGCCTCAACAAGCTGCGCATACTTTTCAGTGCTGCATATTTACTTATAAAACGTTCAAATCATTTTGGGAAGTTTTCGGAAGAAAAATTGGTGATTAAACTCCACACGGTACTGTAGATTCCAGAAAAAAAGAGGGGCTGTTTGAAGCTAATCCACGGTGTAGAAGAAGATGCTGAATCTGCAATGCTCTGTGGAAATGATTAAAGGCACAGTTCGCGATAATTCATTGGACGGGTATGTCAATGACGTGTCCGCCTCTCATTCGATGTCACGTCAGACTGTCTGAGAGGCGGACACGTCATTGGCATACCCGCCCATTGTATTATCGCGAACTGTGTGCCTTTAAATGCTACCATTTGATTTAATTATTGAACAGGCACATATTTTCAGAAAGTCCGCACGATTATGGTCGACAACTGCTTGGTAAAGCTGCAAATAGTGAGTGATGCTTCACTTATCGATACGGTTTCCCTGACAGATGAAAACATGATAATATGAGATTTCCACAGATGGAAAGCGACGTGTACTGGCCACCTTAAATCACCGGTCACGCCACACATCCCAATGGGGCTAGAATATGTAGGGCATTTGAAAAAAAAAACTGGAAAAAAGTGCATGTGGGTGGTGTGGAGCGCTTAGAGTAGCACTTTAGTTTTCACAAGCAGTCCGTACCTACTTGCTACCTAGGGGTAAGGGGGGAGGGGTTGACGGGAGCTTATATGGCATAAGCAGAATTTGACCGTACATCGTTGGAGGCCATGGTGGCGGCAACTCTAGTTTCTATCCATTATTAACATTTGAAGCAACTCATGTATAATATTTACTATTGTTCCAGTGGGACACCGCTGGTCAGGAGCGATTTCGAACACTCGTTTCCAGCTACTATCGTGGTGCACACGGAATTCTTATCGTTTTCGATATCACGAATGAGGTAAATCTCGAATTTATTCTCCCTCGCTGCCAACCCATTCTTGCTGATCTGCAGTTGTTTATCGCCTTATTGAATACAACCAATGGTTTACAGAAGACATTTGACTGCTTACCGTATTGGTTGCGAACCATCGAGAAGCTTGCTAGTGAAAATGTGGTAAAACTACTAGTAGGCAATAAATGTGATCTCGTCTCCGGAAGAGAAGTCAGCCATGAAGATGTTAAGGTAAAGTAAGGGTTTCTAACTATTACTGAGGTTTTTTTTGAATATATTACTTCCGCGACTCCAAGTAAAGGGAAAATGGGGCCCTTTGCTCTTTGCAAGCTTTCGTTTTCAGAGGTTTGCTCAAGAGTATTGCTTGCATTTCATCGAGAGTTCCGCCAAGACGACAAAGAATGTCGAAGAGGTCAGTTGGAACCATACAATTCTTACCAGCTATGCCCCTTCTATTCCCGCATGAGTATCCTCTCAAACCACCAAATCTTCCATCTCCATAAGAACGGTCATTGATACCAGACTTGTGTAAAAGCAGTCATTTCAAAATCGGCTAGCCACCTCAGGGCATTGAATAGGACACAAATCATGGATCGAAGATGAATGGTGGGCTCGCGTAAGGGATCGAGATTGATATAGTCGACGACTCATCCCTTATCCATTATTCCCTTTTGAGTATGTAGGTAATAAAAAAAGCTTTAAGTGGTCAGCTCTATCAGAGGAAAGTTCTAGCAGTTAGGAGTACGAAGTATAAAAACGCATGAAGGCGGCACATTTTACATTTATTATTAGGTTGTTGGAAAGAAATGCGCGTTTGAGCTTCAAAAGTTTTTTATTGATCAGTTCAAAAGAGAATGTTCATTACTATCAATGACTTGTTGCCAATGTTTACGCGAAGAGTGGATTCCTCTTCTGAAGAACTCGACCGGCTCAAAGTAGTTGGGCACCAGAGTTAGACTTCTTCGAGGTTTCTGAACTTTTTCTCAGCAAGGGAGTGCTGCATCGACCGGAACGAATGGTAAGCGGATGGTGCCAGGTCTGGGCTATGAGGCAGAATTTCTCAGCTCCTATTCCTCATTTTTTCCAAAACGATTTTCGCGTTCCCTACACGCGACCCGACCCGCGACGCGACGGTGCAATACCCATTTTCCGCACCTGTTCGTTTTGCCAATTTACAGCACATGTTCATGGATGGTAGAGTTTTTGACGACTTGAGGCCGACTTCCATGTTCTTCGCCCTCTAACCTCTCACTACCGTTTTTGAAACGCTGGAACCATCGCCTACACTGGCTTTCTGACAAGGCTTTTTCGCCAAATACCTCAGATGATGAGTTTCAGTAGCCGATTTGCCTTGCTTGAAGTCATACCACATGCAATCCGCAAAAAGAATTTTTGGTCAAGCATTTCCTAAGCTTTTTTTCTTCGAAGAAAACAAAGTAGACATAAACAAAAATATATCAATAGATGCGCAATAAAAATGTCTTTCTAATAGACAAGACTGTTTTGAAAAATCATGTATAGTAGGAGAGAAATAGATGGGCAAATTCAACGCGCCTTCCTTTCCGAACAACCTAGTAGTATTTTTGGGATACGCCACATGTTCATCCTTCCGGAAAAGAAGACATTTTGTTAATCTGGGTCATCCATATAAACATGGGCTAGGCTTAGAGCCTCAAGCCATACCTTTAATTGTTCAGCGCTGATTATCCAAGCTAAATATGTAATAGTAATACTTGTAGGCTTTTCTGAAAATCGCTCGAGAAATCAAGGACCTTGTCGCTCCAACACCCTACCTAGCATCGATCAGCAACTCCATACGACTTCAGGAAGCCCTGCCTGTGGATGACAGTTCTTCCGACACTTGGTGGTACTGTTAATGAGCCTGATCAAATGTTGTTCACATTTTGTACATTTAATGTACCATACGGAGTAAATATATACAGTAATGGAGTAGTTGTACACAATACGCCACTACGAAATGGAAAATTTTGAATGGAAGTCGAGTGCGGCGGCGCATCCCTGGAGTGGAATTTACTACGCTTAAGGACTTGAGGACCTTACTTTAGTTAATTATGATATGTAATACTATGGTATACGGGGACGCCACAGATTCATTCAGGGAGATTTCTTAGAGAACATTCCCATCGTATGCTGTGCTTTTAACCCTGTTTGTGATGTTTTACTTCTCCTTCTTCTTCTAACCGGCATTAAACCCTCGCCGTTCTAGGACTGGCTGTTTCTGTCAGTCGTCTACAGTTTTTTGAAGACCAAGTCTCTCAACTTCGAAGGGTTCACGGAGCCGACCGTACACGGTCTTGGGGAAACCACAGAAAGAGTATAGGACTTCCTACCTGCGTGATGTTTTAGCTCGGCAGTGATCGACCTCGTGATAGTACAAACATGAGCCTACACTCTTTACCACTCCCCTATACCTGTCTGGATAGGCGTGATGCTTGGTTAAGATTGAAGTTATCGTAGCATACCTTGTGATAATGCTGCTGTTTTCGAATTGATGCCTTCCCAAACAGAGGCGCTCCATTTTTTGTGTTTAGTCGCTATAAATCGCATATGGAAAAATAGAAGAAAAAACAATCTTTTTGAGGTGAGTAAAGATCTCCACTACTGAAGATTCTGGACGTGAGAGTGGGAGTAAAAGGGGAATTGAAAAATTCGTTAGGGATTGTGCCTCTCGAAGGCAAAGATAGGAGCAGTCCTTGCGATGAACATGAATCTGTTACAGGTGCACCCTTAATTAGGTACCCTTGTTTACGATTGCGATCTTCCGCCGTTTCAGTTGATTCGGGGAGCAATTAATTCACCAACCTGAAAAACCGGTACATATGTTTCTAGTCAATAATTTTGCATATCTTTGGACAACAAATTAATCAACACATACTTTACTGTCATTGGGCTCCCACATCATATCTAGTTATGTCAGTGTGTTCACTCTTATAACCAGCAGTCAGGTTTCAAAGCTGATGTTTTCCTGATGGAGTTATCGTACGAATCGTGTCCTTAATTCTTTAGAATGTACTTCGTGTTACATGTGCTGACCGCATCCGAAGGTTTCTTAAAGTGTCAAAGTCATCTGATCCCCCTCCTCCCCGCTCCTTGCCAGTTCGTTGAATCCATTCTACTATTGGCGGAGAGAAACTACTTCTTTCCTATTCATTGGCATACCCCTGCTCAAGCCCCATTTTTTACAATGTATGTCAATATTGTTTATTGACTTATGATGATAAGCGCTCGCCGATAATCTGGAAGTAATGATCAAGTAGCGCAGATCTCCCTTCTTAACACTGTAACCTGTTCTTGGCTTAAGTCTAAGCAGATCCAGTAGATGACGCCTTCGGGGCGGACAAACGAGTCCGTGACCGCCAGCGTTCTATGGAACTCTTCATAGCTCTGACAGCTTCATTTCGATTTTACATTGCTCTTCAGCTTAAACAGGAGATGTATAAATATTCCTAAAAGGATGCCAAACTTATCTCTATTCCGAGCTGATTCCTTCTTCATTCAGCTAGTGGTCCTGAAAGGAAGGCTTTCAGGTTTTCCAGCTCTAAGTGAGATCGGTATTTAGACTTGGTTTCCTGATACAGTTAACCGCCACTGGACATTTCTGAAAACACTGAGGTATGAAAGGCATCATTTCAAGCTTACGAATTAACTGATATACGGTTGAGCCGAATCCCCGAGAACGCCTGTTTTCCAAGTAATTTCCTTTTGTTAGCTCTTATTTACTCTCTCGTGCTTCGTGAATCTGCTGATCGGCTGACCTTCTCATCGATATGCCCGTCATAGATCTCATCCAGAGATCTACGAACGCAGCACTGATCGTGTCAAAGGATTCCTATTGTCGTCGTTGCAATGCGAACAGCCCTGCCAGTTTGCTTTGTTCTGTTGCTGGCCATTGAAACGGTCATCGCTTGCGTGGATGTTCTATTCGTACTGGATCCTTCTTCGGAGGTGTGTTTTTAAAAGTTTACGATAGTTTAGCAACCACTTACAGTAAGCTCAATTCCTAACAAACGTGTGTATATGTTGCGATTTTCATTGTAAGTCGGGCTAAAGCCCCAATCGAAGAGTTGGTAAGATCTTTCCACTCAACCAGGTGGCCTTCAAGCCAGTTTTTGTTAAAATGAACCAGTATTTGTGAGGCTTTCATTGGCTACCTATACATTTTTAACTACTATGAGATCAGTCCAACAATAAGATTGACATTGACATTAAGCTTGACGAGGTGCTCACTACTTTCCCAAATTCGTGTAGAATATAAGGGCAAATGCGCTGCTCTTCGTGTTGAAGAACAATTGGGATGGATAGTCCACCGGGATGATCCGCTAGAATGGATATCTGGCTCGGGGGAGCGGTACATAGCAATTTGGAAATTTTGAGAATTCTAATAGATACAACGAGGGCCAGAAAGAAAAAATGTTGATCGTGTAAACAGTGTGATTGGGAAAAACGTTGCTTCCGTGTTTGTAAAAAATATTCCGTTGTAAGCGTTGTAGAGACAGTCGAGTGCTTCTCCATTAGCATACCCTAGGTGGATTTGAACTCGGGCAGTTTTGTGGAAGCGTCCAATCCTGGTTTACAGGTCTTACTGTTGGTATAGTTGAAAAAACTTCTTATTAAGGCAAATTCACCGTTAGGATCTTCTGCGGCCCTGTACCTTCTCCAGGACCAGGACCAGAACCTAACTAATTGGCAAATGTGCCTTAATGGCACACTTCACGTCAAAAATGGTTTCTAAGATTGCCCCACAGGATGAATTTGAGGCCCCCGCGTTAACCATATAAGGCACTGTTAGGTCGGAAAACGCCTTAGTTAGAGGGTTATAAAGGCTCAAAGATTGGTCCGTGTGCATCCTCGCACGAGGTCCACCGGCATTTTAGAGGCTGCACCGATCACAAGGGAACCCATGTAGGAACTTCAAACAACTTGTTATGACCCATAGCGACAGTGAAAGACAATTCTTTACAGTTCTGGCTTGCTGTGGTCAGCTCCTTGTGCAATTGCAATAACTGAAATCTCGTCCGAATTCCACTTCCATGTTATTTCCGTCATGGCAATCTTGTCCGAGCTCTATTTTCCCTACTTTTGAGGAGCCCTAATTTTCTCGGAATCGACTAATTCTCTAGCTTTCTTCACTACCGAAGAGCTGTTCCCAAACTATGCTTCCGCTTTACGAATAAAAACGGGTACCTCGAAATTATCGTGAACTGTGCCTTTAAAATGCCTATAGGAAACAAAAAAGAGGTGGCATAATAGATTGACAGTACAGTTTCTTTTTAGTATTCACGATCTCGCTCCACTAAAGTGGCCCTTGAGCTGGCCAAGAGAGATGGACTGCGATATTCGGTAGCCATTCGACGTCACAAAAGTCGCTATGTTTTCATGATGGCAAAGGTTAGCCTGAACATTAATGTCACCTTTCTAAAAGTATATAGATAAGAACACCTGATCTTCACTCTTCTGAACAGACGACAGCTGATCTTATTGCGGCACTTGATACGATTGACGGCGACTATGAACGTTATTTGGGCATGGTGACTTCCGAAATCCTGCGTCGAAGAAATGGTGAGTCCTTAGAGACATGTGCAGGTCTCATCCTGAAATGTTTTGCTTCCAGTCCGTCCTATGGCGGTCCTACTATTCTCTGACACACCCATAAATGCCACGCTAGCAACTCAGTGGAAGGACCTTTCACGTAATAGGAAAATCCACGTGTTCAGAGTTGGAACGGCCAAACCGACCAAGTAAGTCTTATTTGTATAGTTCAGCTCTACATGAACAACATTCGATAAATCACATTTTATAAATCAATGAGCAATATTGNAAGTTCTGTTCAGCAGCGAGAAAAGGCCTGTAGTCCCTTTTTTCATGAAACTCGAAATCCTATGTGTCCTTGATCACCCATGAGCCACAACAATACAGCGCAAGAACAAAGTGTTCCTTCTCAAATCTTGAGCTTACGATTTCACAACAAAATCTTCCAGTGAACTATCTATCGGCGATGGCGAATCTTTCGAAGATATTCTTGCTTGCAGTGCAGTTAACAAGGTGAGCCCCTTCTCACTGATGATTGGCTTGAAATTCTAGACAGATGAACAGCAATGCTGAAAAACAACGTCAAAAACTACACTACATACCAGTAATTTCCCATTTTCAACTTCGTTTTCATGTTTTTTCACAATTTCATTGAAATTTCGAAATTCGAACTTGCAAATATCGTACCTTCAAGTGTTACCGCAGATTCGCGAAGCACTCTGATGTTCTTTACAATCCTAATGGAGGGGCCTGTAATCGACAACCATATCCCTTTCATTTTTTATTTTAATGATTATTGGTTCAAGGAAACATTAGGATCCGAAATTTAGAGCACGGTAGATGTCCGCAGAAGGCCAGCTGATCCAGAACAGTCTCCCACTACACCACGCCGTCCACGAATCATACCGTTTTCGAAGACGACAAGGCCACCAACTACTACGAGGCAAGGGCTTCTTGGTTCTCAGTGGATGATCTCTTGAAATAAGAAGAGTTAAGTAGTGGCCTTAGTAAGATCGCGAAAAAGTCAACTGCTATATCTACAGATCCCGTACAATGCATATGAAACTGTGATACGTTGCTCTAATGACCACTGCGCAGTTGAAGACAAACTTCGGGAAAATGGACCCAGGATTTTTTAGAATTTTTTAATTGTAGAATCACTGGTTTTCCGAGAGGCCTCAAGGGGCATGGCTTAAAAGCGGCTAGAGAGGGCGCAGCCGTAGCTCGAAAACCAGTATCGTCAGCCTCTAAGCAATACCAAGTATGGGCGAGTTCAATTAGTTAACATCCTTCTCTGCACTGACTAAATCTCGTCCAGACACCTTTTCATCGCAACAAACTCGCTCAAGTGGTAGTGATACAAAAAGGCCGTGTATTTTCCGATCCTCTTATTTACTCTGGCCACCCACAAACTATCCACATCAGCATTTTCGCCCTCTCACCCAATAAAGGTTCTTATGATAACGAATTGCGCCGTCAAACTGCTGATCATTGCATATCCGACATAAAAAACTAGTGTTACGAGAACTCGGTGAGAAGTTTATTGTTTAGGCCAGTCACCACACCCGGCCCGAAACTCCGTCCTGTATACCGTCGTAAGGACAAAGAGGCGGATCTGGGCAAGTCGGACGTCCATAACGTGCAACCAGCTCCGCATACCGTGCCTCCAGCTCCGCATAACGTGCCTCCAACTCCGCATAACGTGCTTCCAGCTTCACATAACGTGGTGCTCCCAGCTCCAAAACCTCTCTTTCAGGAGCCGGAACCATCCTTGACAGTCAGGTATGATGTTTTGATATTTTGTCAAGTAATTGAAAGTGTGACATCTGTGCAATCGAAAGTGTACCACTGTCTCTTCGAATGTTGTTTCTGTCCATTTGGTCGAATTCTCAAAATCATTTAGATTTCCTTCGAAATTTTCTAGTTTTCAAATTACCGGTCGGATACATCATTTTGCCCTTTTCGCTCAACCCCAATTCTTCCTCAATCCGAAATCAGGGATGCTCTACTTTCCCGTTTGTTTTTCAACTGTGCTTTACTTTTTCTCTTATTAACTTTAATTCTTGAATTGTTTAACGTGGTGCCCCTAATTTCATGATCTCAATCCTGGTAATGCAAATGTATGACTCTGAAAGGGAAAATATAGCCAGCGTAGTCGAAGGAGAAAATTCTTGAGAAGAATTTTCGCCTCTGACTACGCTGGCTATATTTTCAACCCGAAGTTGGGCTTTTCGTGAACCAGGCTCTTTATCCCTCACACTACCGAGACCTTGCTTGCGGTATTACATCAAGAAGGGCAAGCGGCAAATTTTGCCCGACAGCCCCGCCCATCGCGCCAAACGACATGCACCCGGCGAAATTACATCAGTTAACAAGATCGTCAGGTGAAAACAAGTTATAACAAGAAGAGCTCACAGCCTAACGATTTCATGCAGGTATTGACTACCCGGCTCAACACGTTGTACGTGTCAGTGCTGAACAGTTACGGTTCGAAAGCTACCAATAAGGCGTGGACAGGCTGGGTCATGGTAGTGTAAGGGATAAATCAAATACCTAAGAAGTCCTCTATAAGTGGCAGAGGATGGGGGAACGTAGGGAAGGGGGCAAAAATTTGTATGGACTAGTATGAATGAACAGTGGCCAATCTCATTGCATACCCACGTCGGGCACTGCTGTCTTACTGGTTAGGCCCCGAAAAGAAAACGCTGCACCATCCTTCAGCGTGAAGAATTTAATACTACACAGATACTTGTTACGGCTTTTGGAGTTTCATCAAAGCGGGTAATTGTACTGCGTCGGACGTGGCTTCACGTGACCGACCCTATTGTATACGCGTGCTAAGTGTGTTTGTTGGTTTGTCTGTATGTGTGTATGTGTGTGTGTTTAACTGGAAACTCACAAATTCTGTACCTCTGGATCTAGAGGGTTCGAACTTGATAGGAGTACAGGCGGCAGGATTTCGACACTAATGGAACGTGACTCAGCTCCACCCGCATGAGGCGGGGCGTGCGCGAGATGAATGCCTGACTGCGCCTTCATCCCTTCTGTTTCCGTAAACCTAGCGCCTTTAACGTGGTAGAAGAACGGGCGGCAGTATGAGAAAGTTGATGATGGNTGTAATCGACAACCATATCCCTTTCATTTTTTATTTNCAGCTATCTGGACATTGCAGCGGCCGCTGTTGGACGGCTACCAATTTCCCCACATGCCGTCCGTGTAAGTTACGACTTACATATTGAAATTCCATTCAAACTTCTTGAAGTTTGTTACTCTATCGCAAATAACACTAAAAAGAATGGGAGACGGGCAGTAGGAACGCTTTTGTGCAATCGGTCCGCCACACGTGGTTGTCGCAGACCATTTATCTCGTTATAACAATTCAAGCGTTCTCCATACATCTCACTCACTATCGATTATTACTTCTGGCATGATTCTACTGTTAGTACTTTTGGTCCTAAATTTCTTACTTGCTGCTTCAATCTGCTACATTCCTTCGCGCGCGGCGTCTCTCTCTAGCCGCGACGCGACAATTTCGTTCCTACTGCACCACACCCAAGAAGATTTGCTTATTGAATCGTATTTCGATTGAATAATTCGAAGCTTCCGCTTGGAGTCAAAAAATTGTTTTTAATTGTTAAACAACCTTTTCGATCACGGAGATGAGTTATATTGTCTGTCATTAGTGGAAAATTCGAGCTCGAGTTTATTTACTAGGCTCTTCATCCCACTTTGCAAACGTTGCAGTCAATTTCTTATCTATTGGAACCAACTTCACTGATTAGAAATTCTTATATCATAATTAAATTAAATTGATTAAAATAAAGTATTCAATTAAACCAAATTATTTCAATTAAAATCGGATAGAGTTCAGGATTTCTTCTAATTTTTATGTTTTTTTTGTATTAGTGCATTCGAAAATTTCAGCAGCTCAACTGAAAATAAGGGCTGTTTGATGATTATGCCTTTTATGTAGTGGTA